GAGATGGGTATAACCTTGGCCATTCTCCAGGTTGCTAGTAGTGTCTTTTCAATGATAAATTACATATTTGTGTTAGCAGCTCAGTTATACTGGTTGTTAGTTCCTTTAGAATTCTCCACTGAACACCATCTGGTCCTTGTTGATTGATTGCAATTTAATTTCTTTAGTTGCTTATAATTTTTTAAAAATATTAGTTTTGTTATGGCAGCCTGATTTTCAGCATCCAGTTCCATACTTGATACATAGAAAATACTTAGAATAAAACTTGATGAAATAGATCCTTTTCTTCAATGAAAAGTATTTCTGAAGTCACTAGCTTAAAATAATCAGGAAGAAGAATACAACCTCTGCAAATTTTTATATCCCAGTCTTAAATTGTTTTAAAAATTGTCAAAAGTAACTGTTTTATCTACTTTTGAAATGGTATTGCAAGATTTTCTGTTGTGTGAAGTGCAGTTAATGCAGTTTTTATATGACAATTAATAGAGTTCACAAATTCCAATACAAAACATTTACAAAATTAGGTGATTTTAATAGGAGAAAGGAGGAAATGCATGGAAAGTAGGAAAAAAGTACAATGAAAATAACTGGGGGCAAAGAAGCAATGCAAAAAAAATCTAGCAGGATGAAACAGAAAAATAATATTTTCCTCTCTGTTTATAATGTTATCTATTTACTGGTTATACCCTCCTTTTTTGTAGTTCCTTGATCACTGTTCTCTTTGTGTCAGCTTTAGACTGTTAGCTTTTCAGCAAAGTTCTAGACATGCCAACAATACAGATGAATTCATGAAACTTGGGCTTTTAACATAATCTTGTTCAAATCAAGTGTTACTATTAGGTTGAAACAGCCTCAGGACCTACCTCAGCAAGTCTGACCTTTCAACTCACAACCAGACAGTCCAGGTTTATAGAGTCTTGAGGTCAGGTCTCCTATTTCACATGACTTCAGGGGTTTTTAAACCACATTGTGTTGAGGAAAGTCTCAGTGCATTTTGCGATTACGTAAACTTTGCACTCCTGCTGTCTGTGAAGACGGTAGTAGCAACTTGATTCTAATGAATTGTGGTGGCACACTGGCAAAATTCATAAAAGATAAGTGAGATTAGAAGAAGGAAAATAGCCTGAAATGTACTAACCTGTAGTGAGAGCAGTGGGTTATTTTTCCCCCAGTGGTTTCGACCTCAGGATTGCAATTTTGTTACAATGATTTGAAACTTCTCAAAGGGGTTGATGCTTTGCTGTGGACATTTTAAATTGTGGATTTATTTGAGTTGATATTAAATATTTCCACATTCTTTGGAGAATACGTATCATTTATAAACCCTACTTATTCTGCTATATCCATACTTCTGTACTGCAAAAATATAAATATGTGAATATTTTAAAACACCAACAACAAAAACCTCAATATAAGGTGCATTTACATGGTTTGTTCCTTTACTAGTTTCTCCATCCTAGTTTTATCTCACATGAAAATTAAGAAAAAAAGTGACACATGACAGCATATAAATCATGCATCAAGAGCAAGAGTATGATATTATTTCAAGTGTTTTTACTTTTTATATGGTTGTAAAATTGGACGGGAGGCATTTCCTTTTAGAAAATTATCCAGGTCATGTATAGATATAGCCTGAAGCTTATGAGAAGCTTTATGTTTTGCTCTTCTTTAGTTTTTGTTGTGCATTTAAAGAAACAGATTAAATTTTGATGAATGCTTGGCTTCCTGAATTGAGATTTATTCCTGGAGGGGTAAGAAACATTTAGAAAACTGGGGAGATAGGCACTTAATGCAGTTGTCTCCTGTTACTACATTTCCTACCCTAGCTTAAACCTATAAAGGAGCTGTGCAAAGTAGTACAGTATATTTAGACAGAATCACTTACATTTGCATGTAACTGAAAAACAGCTCCTCAAACGTTTAATGCAATTTCAGCAAAGAAAATTAGGCCATCTGTAAAAAACCTACAATATTTTTCCTGTAATGTTATCCATTCACATAAAACAGTATGACTGCCACAGAATATGAAGATGATTTTTTTTTACTTTGAGAACAATAGAAGCCGATATTTTTTTTATCTACATAAGCTCTCTCACTGATGTGCTTCCCTGTCACAATTCACCTTAGAAATTGCACTCCCATATACTTTTTGTTTTTGAAGGACTGTCAAAGTTTAAATAATCTGGGGCAAACAATACTTGCTCCTCAGTGGTTAAGCAACAGTTGTGCATTAAGATATTAAGCATACTATTTTTAATGAATATGTGTATTTATTGCATTTTAACTTTTCAATTAAGTAAAGCTGATTTTGCAAGTGTGAATCAAGAGTTTTCCAATTTCTGGTACAAATGAAGTTGAAGAAATGTATCCAAAATGTTGATTTAATAAAATACATTTAATATATTTATATATAGACATGTATGAATTTTTGTGTTTGCTTCAGTAAAGAAAGAGCAAAGTTTTTAATACATTAGAAACATGATACAAGCTGATGTTAAAAAAATAAAGAGGTACATAATTATACATTTTAGTTGCATGCTCCTGTCTTGCCACCATTTAGTATTAAATACAAAAATCAGAATTTGCTGACTAATTGGAACTTTTTAGTTGAAAAATGCAAGAGGTTTGTTTCCTTCATGCAGAAACTGAGGTCTGGATGCTGTCAGCCCTTTTGCTTGGAAACACCTTTAGTTGCTACAGATGTTTCCTGTCATACATAAACAAAATCACCAGGTCAAAGCCTGAATTCCAAACTTGCTACCTAAAGAGTATTGCACTGGATTAAAATCACCTCTGATGGAATTTATTTTTGTGATCATAGACAGAGTTCTTTAAAAACTTACCTACTGTGATTGATAGGGCCTATGTCCCAAATTGCATCTCAATAAATATCTACTCAGGCAGTACATAACTTCACACAGTGCAGTTCATAAATCAGAAGGTCTTCCCCTCCTCCCCAAGGGCAGTTCTCTGGAGGCATCTGTGGGACTGATATCACAACTGTAACAACAAGGCAACAGCACCTAGAGTGCTTTGATTTTGAAATGGATGAATCTATGAAATGTGAACATATTTGAAAAATGGGCAAGTCTTTTTAATAATAGTATATAATTCCATCTGAGTTTGATGTGCAGTTAAAGCATTGTGTCACTAAAATTATTTTGCCAGAATTATAATGGTATAGTAGTTTTTCTTATTAGTGGATTGTGGAAGTTGGTTGTGTGTGCCAAATATTTTTTTCTCCCATTTGATAGTTAATTATGCTTAAATCAGAATTTAAGTTGGGTGAAGTTTTATCAAACAAAATGCAGGTCTCAGCCAATTTAATGTTCTTTCCTCATAACTTCTGAAGTATTATATGGCATGTGTCCTCCCTCAAATCTATTAGTAAATAAATAATTACCCTTATTCACAAAACTGGAGAGACGACACGGTCCTAATCCTAGTTGAAGCACCGAAGGGCGAGAAAAAGGCAATCCCTACAATCAGATTTACAAATAATAACATTCGTAGCAGTAAACGCGAGGCAGCTGCGTGATTACTTAAAAAAAAAAATCTTTAAAAGTTGCGGAAATAAGACGACGGCAACAGTGCACTTGTTTAAATGAAAAGGAGACAGCAGATATAAAATCGATATATAAAAATGTCTATTTAAACAGCAGCCGCCCAGACGCGCGTTTGTTTTTTAAGAGGCGCAATTTGCAGAAGAAAACTGCTTTTCACATGGCATCCGCCGTGAAATCTGTGGAAAATTCACAGGTTCCGTTCCACTGTTGCGGAGGAAATAAGTAAATAAGCCAGCAGCTCCGGGGGTGAGTTGCCTAATGAAGGGGGGGGGGAACAAACGGAGGAGAGCGGAGTCGGTGACAATGGTCAGCCTTCCTTAAAACATATTTCTCCCCCCTCTTTCTCTCCGGCCCCCCGCTTTTGGTGTGTGGCAAAAGGCTGAGATCTTACTTTTGCATCGTTCCTTCTACCACCAGAAGGGGGACCTTCTCCACTCTCGGATGCAGCCTCGCTTTAATTTCCGAGAAGAGAGCAGGAGAGACCAGAGATATCCGCTGTGTAGCTCTAATAACATTACAGCGGCGGAGTGTATGTACGTGTGTGAGTGAGCGAGCGAGCGAAGCTGGTGGGTTGGGTTGTTGCTTTTCCCTCCCTCTCTCTCTCTCTCTCCCCTCCTCTCCCCCCCCCCCCCTCCTCCTCCTCCTCCTCCTCCTTTTCCTGCTGCAGCACAGGCTCCGGCTCCAGGTCTGAGGCTCTCTCCGCCTCTTCCAGTCCAGATCTTGGCGGTCTCTCCCCTCCCTCCCCTCCTCCTCTGCATCTCTCTCGCCTTTTAATCATGCCCCTCTGTCTGTGTGTGAGTGCAGGCAGGCTGACAATGATTTCCTCAGTGATTACGTACAGAGCGAGTCCCTGCGGGTTAGGGGCCCCCTCTGGAGCCATCCTGATGGCTTTGGGGGCCTTGCTTCCATTTTCCATTATTATGTGGACTACCGGAGCGACAGCGCAGTCCAAGACCTTGCAGGTTTGTGATGAGGAGGGAGCACACAGCACACTTCTCCTTCTCCTCCTCCTCCTCCTCCTGCTCCCGGCTCTCCTCCTCTCGCCGCCGAGCCAGCCGTAGAGTTTAGAGAGCAACATCCAGCTCCCCAAATCCAGGGCTGCTACAGCGGACCCGGCGATTCAAAAAGAAAGGGGGGAATCCCACCCCAAAGCAAAGGGGCGCAGGAGCAGAATAACAACAAAACCCAGAGATCTATATATTTATTTCTATGCCACAAACAATAACAAAAATAAGCCAAATAACCAAGAGAGATAGAGCGCGCTAAAATTATGTGTATATTTGTTTTGTTCCCTTAAAAATTAGTTTAGGTATCATTTTTTCCCCTCCCTGAAAAGACAGGAAGGTTTCCAAAGTATATTTTTTTTTAAATCTTTGGCATTTTTGTCCTGTTTGCAACATTCTGCATTCCGGTGAGCGATTTTTAATTTCCCCCTCTTTTTTCTTATTTTATTTTTGTTTGGCAACCTTGGCATCAGTTTTTTTTTCCTGCTTAATTTTATCATCGTTCTTATTTGATTTTTTTTTTTACAAAGAGGTGATTGTAAACAAGCCAAGTGATTTTTTTCTTTTTTTAAAAAAAACCCTTTTTCCTTCTTGAAGGCAGCTATCGTAGGGGTGGGGGAAACCCAAATTATCAGGTTGTTTTTATGCGTTTTTGTGTTTTTAAAGAAAGCAAACATGTAAATTTTATGTAAATTTTAGTTATTAAAAATAAAATTAAAGAGTCCTAGTGAAGATTTTTTTAGTGGCTATCGGCATTTCCCCCTCTTTTGTTTTGCATTTTGCGAACATTTTCCTTGGTGCCTTTTTGAGTGGGGGGTTCCTAAAAGGGGGGGGGCTGCTGGAGGTTGAAGGGGGGTGAAGATTTAAAGCTTGGAAAGTTTTCGTGCAGCTGCTGGAGCAAAGCTCTGAGCCCCCCAAGCTAGCCGCCAGTAGAGAGAGGGAGGGAGAAAGAGAGGTAGCGGAGGAGAGTCTTTCCAGGGTTCTCATCGGTTGTAAGAAAGTGTAGTTTCTTAGCGGGCTGACATTGAAACAACTTCAGCTGTTTACTTTTAGGATGTCTCGTCGCAAGCAAGCTAAACCAAGAGCACTCAAAGGTAAGTACGGACCCCCCCACTGCCCTCCCTCCTTCTCTCCTCCGCCCCCCTCCCCTTAAATGCCACTGTTTGTAGCTACAGCCAGGCTGGGCTGCGAGATCTGGCGTGTGTGTGTGTGTGTTTGGGAGTCTGATGAGTGAATCCGAGATTCCCCTTTATCGTTCCTGATCTAGAGCGAAGCAAAGAATTGTATGCGAAGGGATGGGGTGGGGGGAAATAGACGCGCGGATAGACACACACACATCCACACGAACTAGGTGGGAACTGGGGGAAAGAAAGTCACCTCCAATCTAGGATCCTCCGACCGTCTCCGTTTTTCCTCATCTGATCAGTGGGAAAAGTTCTTGGGTGTGAAAACAATCCTTTCTTACATTCCCTTCCCTTCCTTTCCTTTTTCTTTTTAAGCGCTCTATATATTTTCGGGCTCCCCACCCTACCATCCCTGCTTTCCCCAGGACTTTAGGAATACTTGGAAGAAGAGGGGTGGGTGGCGTGCCCAACATTTATTCTTCCAATCTGTCCCAAGAAGTGACTGCTTGTTATGTGCGGTGCTTTAGTTCAGTGGTGTTGTTGTTTTCCTTAGACCTTATTTCATTACAAATAGCGGATTTCCCCGGTTTCTTTATCACCGAAGAGTTGATCCCATAAACTTTTTAAAAAAAGCTTTTTTTTTTAAGTAAAAAAAAAAAAAAAAAACAAACCCGATACGATTTGTGCTGATTTTAGTTGGAGAAGGAAGTTTTTTTTTTAATGATTAAAAAAAAGCCCAACAACAGCCCAGAAGTGGGTGGGATTTGCTGGGATCTACTTGACGGGGGGGGGGAGAAGAGACAAGAAGAGGAGGAGAAACAGAATTGAAGTTATTATTGATCCGGCGGCTGGTGGAGCTGGCTGGCGCTGTGTCCTGGAATGTGTGGTGGCGGTGAAGCCTCTTTCCTCCTCCGCCTCCCCTTCTTTTTGGAGAAGGGGAAGGAGGGAGGGATCGGGGAGAAGTGGGGTGGGCTGATATTTGAGAGCTAGACTTGAGGGGTGCTGGGGGGTGGAGGGGAGAAATGCAAAATGCGCAGGAGCCTCCGTTAACAAGAATTTTAACGTACAGGAGTCGGCAAAAACCCTGAAGGGGAAGGACAAAGGGTGGCTTGTGAGAGAATGTGGCGGCCCACAGGAATGTCCTGGGGAGATGCCTTGCCTCCCTCCCTCCCTCCCTCTTTCTTTTGGCCCAGAGGTCTTGACAAACTGGCCTCCCACAGTCACTCTTCACTCTTCCATCTAGGACACTGTCGCCTTTCCCTCCGGTGGACGCTGCCAGCAGAAGCCTCTGCAGTCTTGCCTCTCAGATTTCCCCTTCTTGTGTATTTTGCAAATGCTCAGATTGATCTTTCCGGTTTTGATTTTTCTTCCTGCCCTGCCGCTTTCTCTCTTCTTTGACCATCGCTGGCCAATTCATGGTGAACCTCACAATGATGCAGATAGTTTGCTTGTCTTCCAAAACAGGCTTTTCCACTCTGCTCCCTAATTTTCCTTTTTGAAAGGGAGAACTCAGCCTAGTTTTATACATAACCTGTGTTTGGGAAAGAAAAGTTGCTCTTTTCCTGCTGCTGGAGTTAAATCCTATACTATAGGTTAACAAAGCTAGAAGTTATTTTCTCTATCTGGTCCTGGCTAGATAGAAGGAGATTCGTAATTAAATAAGAGCTAGTGACAATGATTCACATGTCCTAATGAGACATATAGTGGGTGAAGAGGCAGTGTTTGAAGTTTGGGGAAAGTTGGATTATGAATCAAGACTCCTGAATAAATTTGGAGGGAGCTAAATTAATAGCAGTCTTAACGTGTTAATCCTGATTTTATGTAGCAATCTTTGACAGAGTGCTTGGTTGAAGTTAAAATACTATATTGGTAGGAATGACTTTATTGAAAAGTCTGTTTAAACGTTCAGTTCAGCACAATGGTTATGTCTGGTGGAATAAAAACTCCAGATTAGAAAAAAAGTTATCTACTGGGTTCTAATAAGGAAGTTAGAGTTATCCTATTGACCAAGACATTTTTTAAAGCCAACCCTCTAAATATCTCTAGCACATACAATTTAGAACCTTGAATTCATTTGATCCCTGTATAATTTTCACTGACTGAAGGTTACATACTTCAAATATGCTTTATAGTCTGACAGCATTTAGGAACAAATTTGATGTTCTTCAGCTGTCTTTCAAAATTATTTTACATTGGGAATTGTGTTGATTGTGCATATGCTTATTTCCAATAGCTTCTCTAAAGAGGAATAATTTATATGCCTTCAGGATTTTATGGCCAATAAAACTGATTATATTTGTGGGAAGATGTTAAAAGAAATTGCCTGAACAAAACCCCCTCTATCATTGGATCTATGCATGTTATTTTTCTGAAGTTGTTACATGTACAAAAACATAAAATACTATAAATAGGTAGGTTCCATTTTCTGTGTGAATGTATAAAATAGTTTTCGATCTGTACCTATAGTGCATGAGCAAAGAGCAGTATTCCAGTGTTAGAAGTACTGTCATTGACAGTAACTATTGACCTAAACAATTAGTTATTTAAATGCAGCACTTAAAACATTCCAAGACATTACTCTGTTCATTAGTCTCATTAGTCATAATACATGCTAATGCCATCTGATATATCATAACTGATGCAATATTTAGGACATTGCTCTATAAATTATTCTAAAATCTTTTCTCTGTGCAGCTTTATTTTAAACCTCCCTCCCTCCCCCCAATTAAGCTGATTTTAAGCTGCTTGATATTATTTGAAGAAAAATACAGTAAGAGTTTTTGGTATGTTGAAGTTGTTCCAAAGTTTACATTATTCTGCTATCACTGCTTTTTAAAAAAAAACACTCATTTTTTCAATTAAGTAATATATTCAAGAAGAATAAATATTTCTCATATTTCAGTGTAGACAGTTATAGACAATTTGTTAACTGTGACAGTTCTTTCTATTTTAATATTAGTTGTATCTGTGTCTGTTTAGAACTATAGTCTTAGTTTTTTTTTCTTTAAAATGATTAATGCACAAATCATTTAAAGATAAGCAGGAACTGTTGATTAAAAATGCAGTTGCAAACTTTCAGGGCCAAGATATATTTTAAAAGCTCTCCTAAATCTGTGTGTGCTGACATTGAATCAACAAACCTACTCTATTAAGTGGGAATTAAACCTCAACTGCCTTCCCTTTGCTGAAAAAGAATGAGAAGAAATATAGTATTTTTTTTCTTTAAATGGGTACCTATCTAATAATTTCATAAAATAATTATGGAATAAACACCTTCAGGATTGATGATCAACTTGTTATGATTCTGTAAGAGAAAACAACATTTCAAAGGAAGTTTATTTTTGTACCATTGATCATTTTTGTGCTTTTGATTTAAAAGTTGGCTTCTGAGCATATGCTTTAAAATCTTAATTAACCACTTTCATTACAAGGGTAATTTATTTTGCTTAGTTTTTTTTAATGAAAATCTTGTCTGTGAAGTAAAATCACCACTTGAAAATGACAGCCACTATAAAAACAAGAAGGGAATGCTAATAAATTGTGCAAGGGTACTCAGGTACTGATGAAGAACTGTTTTCAATAACTTCAGTAACAAATGTTTAAAGCCCAGTTATTTTGAGTTTAAAAGACCAGCATCTACAGGTTGTTTTTATATATGCTATATGACATAACATTTGCAAGGTTGAGTTTTCTTCTCCTGAAAAGGTAAATATATTCTACAGTATATTTATTTGAAGAAAAGCTAGCTTCAAATCTCGCTGTTTGTCTCCTTCAAACTATTTTAAAAAAAATAAAAAAATAATAATGAACAAACTGAGCTGTCACTTATATATTAAGTATATTTACAGCAACAAAAGGTCAAGGTAGGCCATTGTGCATGTACAAAATCATTGTTACATTTTCCTAAGCAACAGAGGAAAGGAAGATAAAATATGTCATACCTTTACATTGGCTTCTGGAAAGAATGGTGATGGTTTTGAAGTTTGGCATCTTCTATGGACTCTGTTATTATTTTTCTTATTTATTTATTTATTTTTATCATTAAGTGTCTTTATTAAAATAGAAAATTATTATTTTCAGTCAGATAGCCAATTATTGTTCCCCTTGTATGTGGAAAAGGGTATCTGATACAAGATAAAGGACGATTATAGTTCACTATGAGTACAGTTCTTGATGATGGTTTTAAAACATATTATTTGAATGTAAGTCCCATTGATTCAGCAAAATTTACGTATAAACCTCTAAGGAAATATGACCAGGATGATCATATAAATATAAACTTTTAGCCATCTTAAAATATATTCAATGTGCCACAGCATTCATGGAGGAAATTATGAGGATTAAATTAGCTATGTCAGGGATATTAACAAGACACACGTTTTTAAGGAATTGTCCATATTTTAATATCTCTCCTCCCCTTACAATGTATTTTCATTGTGTTGACCTAGACGCACTTTCACAACATAACATTATTAGATGTGCCTATTCTGGAATAAGATCTGCTGATTTCAATATTATTTTCATGCAGGTAAGCGTGTGTAGGATTACAGCTTTCATTTGTAAATTTTTCTGATTTTCAGCAAGAGAAACTGCATTTTTATCACTAGACTATGCTTAATTTGATTGAAGTATTCTGAAATGACAATAGTGATACATATTAAAGTCCTAAAATGCTTTAGGATTAACTTTCTGATATAATGGCTGTATTTTCTTAACTTCCTGAATGGTTAGAAATCTAGAAAAAAATATATCCATCTGAAATTCACCATTTCAGATACATATATCAACACATCACTTCTGTCACATTTTAGAGAGCTAAATATGTTTGCATAGAAAAGCACAGATATTGTTACAATATTGAGAATTACAATTTAGCAACAGTGCCTCACAGAGTGAATGGAATTCAATGTGTATTCCATCTTTCTTCATACTAAATGTTTTTTCTTTTTCAACCTTTACACAGACAGCAG